AATATTTTCTCCTGAACCATTTGAGAATGAGTGGTATACATCATGGCCCTATACCTTACATACTTCAGATAAGGATATTGACTCATGTACTTACATAACTGTAGTTCACTGACGCTGATATGCTGTTTCTTCCTGAACCCGTTTTATCAGTGAATCCAGTACGGGAGCCAGGCTGGGGTTCTGGGCTGCCCTGAACTGTCTCTTTAGTCTCCTTTGATCCACAACAGCCCCTCAGTCTTTCTTAGTCTTTCACGGCTTTGATGTTTTTGAATAATACAGTCCCTTAAAAGAAATAGTGTTTCTCAATTTGGGCTCCTCTGATATTTTTTCTTTTTAAACATTTATTAAAAACATTTTTTTTTTTGAGATGGAGTTTCACTCTTGTTGCCCAGGCTGCAGTTCAATGGCTCAATCTCAGCTCACCGCAACCTCCGCCTCCCGGGTTCAAGCAATTCTCCTGCCCTAGCCTGCTGAGTAGCTGGGATTACAGGCGCTCAACACCATGCCTAGCTAATTTTGTATTTTTAATAGAGATGAGGTTTCTCCATGTTGGTCAGGCTGGTCTTGAACTCCCGACCTCAGGTGATCTGCCCGCTTCAGCTTCCTAAAGTGCTGGGATTACAGGCATGAGCCACTGTGCCCAGCCCCTAATTTATTTATTTATTTATTTTTGAGACAGGGTCTCACTTTGTCACCCAGCCTGAAGTGCAGTGGTGCAAACATGGCTCATTGCAGCCTCAACCTCCCAGGCTGAAGTGATCCTTCCTGCCACAGCCTCCCAAGTAGCTGGAACTATAGATGCATACCACCAAACCTGGCTATTTTTATTTTTTATTTGTTTTTGGTATTTTTGTAGTGACGGGGTTTCGCCATGTTGCCCAGACTGGTCACAAACTCCTGGGCTCGGGCGATCCTCCTGCCTTGGCCCCCCCGTGTCAGGATGACAGGTGTGAGCCACGGAGCCCAGCTGATGTCTTCTCACGATTAGATTCCGGCTGTGCATTCCTGGCTGGCAGGCTGCAGAGAGGATGCTGTGAGCTTCACATTTGGAGGCACACAATACCCTCCTGTTCTCACAGGTGGTTTATTTCAATCCCTCATCAAGATGTCTGATTCCTCTACTGTATAGAGGAATATACTCTTTTTTTCTTTTTCTTTCTTTTCTTTTTTTTTTTTGAGATGGAGTCTTGCTCTGTTGCCAGGCTGGAGTGCAGTGGTGCAATCTTGGCTCACTGCACCCTCCGCCTCCTGGGTTCAAGCAATTCTCCTGCCTCAGCCTCCCAAGTAGTTGGGATTACAGGTGCCTGCAACTACGCCTGGCTAATTTTTGTATTTTAGTAGAGACAGGATTTTACCATGTTAGTCAGGCTAGTCTCGAATCCCTGACCTCAAGTGATTCCCCGCCTCTGCCTCCCAAAGTGCTGGGATTACAGGAGTGAGCCACCACTCTGGGCCTTTTTTTTTTTTTTTTTGTTAGCAATAAGTAAGCTATCAAGAGATGCTTCCTGACCATGCTGACACCCTGCCCCTCACTGAACACTTCCCTGCAGATGTAGTGTCCCGATGAGTTCTGCTCGCAGGCTGTCTTCTTGTGGGCGGCCCCCTCTGCTATCTTTGTTTCTCTGGGTAGGCCCTTAGGTCCTGGGCAGGTGCTAGCCCTCCCTGGTAGGCTAGTGCAACACAGCTGTCTCGGCCAACACCTCACCTCCTCATTTGACCTGGCTTCAGCGAATCGGTTCATCGTCCTGTATAGGCAGCCAGACCGTCTCACGGCGAGCAGCAGTCTGGGAGGCTCATCTCGTTTTCTTTAATAGAGACAGAGTCTCAGCTGGGCGAGGTGGCTCACACCTGTAATCCCAGCACTTTGGGAGGCCAAGGCAGGTGGATCACGAGGTCAGGAGTTTGAGACCAGCCTGGCCAACATGGTGAAACCCCGTCTCTACTAAAAATACAAAAAAATTAGCTAGGTGTGGTGGCAGGTGTCTGTAATCTAAGCTACTTGGGAGGCTGAGGCAGAGAATTGCTTGAACCCAGGAGGAGGAGGTTGAGCTTCCCTTCCTCACTGCAGCCACCACAGCCACAGGCTAGATCGAGGGGAGCAGAGAGTTGTCCCGTTGCCCAGGGTGGGGGTGCTGGGAGCCCTTCTCCACCACAGCAGGTCTGCGAGGCTGGCGATGGGGAAATCGCCCTGGCTGCTATGGGCCCAGGAGGAACCTGTGATAAGATGTCCCACAGTTAGGGCAGTGGCTTTGAGGTTTGGAGCCTGGGAGCCGACAGGAAGTGACTTGGTACTGAGCTGATGCGGCTTCACCCGGGGGCCGGTCCCTGCCAGGAGCTGCAGGCTGGCGTGGCTGGGAAGATGTCAGCGCAGTGCCCCGAGCCTAGGCCAGGAGGGTCGCAGGGCCAGTCCCCAGGGCCAGGCAGGCAGTGTCCCCCTCCTGCCCCGCCTGCCCGCTGGAGCCTGCCCCGGTGGAGGGCCTACGTGGCTGCCGCCGTGCTCTGCTACATCAACCTCCTGAACTACATGAACTGGTTCATCATCGCAGGTGAGGAGGGGACGGCCGCCCTGGCAGCACCTGCTCCGTTCCGCTCTGCCCGCCAGCTAGGGGCTGCAGGTCCGAGGTGGCCTTCCAGCCATCACCCGTCATTCTGCTCCTGGGCCCGTCTTTGGTGTTCTCAGCTCTGGAGGTGGTTTTCAGCTATGCCCAGATCGGGAGGATCAACTGACGTTCCCAATGCAGCCTCAACTAAGCGGGGGCGCCGGCTGGACGTGGTGGCTCCCACTTGTAATTCCAGCACTTTGGGAGGCTGAGGCAGGAAGACTGCTTGAGCCCAGGAGTTTGAGACCAACGTGTACAACACAATGAGACTCTGTCTCTATTTTTTTTTTTGAGACCGAGTCTTACCCTGTCACCCAGGCTGGAGTGCAGTGGCATGATCTTGGCTCACTGCAACCTCTGCCTCCTGAGTTCAAGGAGTTCTCTGCCTCAGCTTCCCAAGTAGCTGGGATTATAGACACTTGCCACCACGACCGGCTAATTTTTTTGTATTTTTAGTAGAGACAGGGTTTCACCATCTTGGCCAGGCTGGTCTTGAACTCCTGACCTTGTGATCCACCCAAAGTGCTGGGATTACAGGCGTGAGCCACGGCGCATGGCCAAGACTCTGTCTCTAGTTAAAAAATTAAAAATATTTTAGGGCCGGGTTCAGTGGCAGGCGGATCATTTGAGGTGAGGAGTTTGAGACCAGCCTGGACAACATGGTGAAACCCTGTCTCTATTAAAAATACAAAAATTAGCCAAGTGTGGTAGCAGGTGCCTGTAATCCCAGCTACTAGGGAGGCTGAGGTAGGAGAATTGCTTGAACCCAGGAGGTGGAGGTTGCAGTGAGCTGAGATCTCACCATTGCACTCCAGTCTGGGTGACAGAGGGAGACTCTGTCTCAAAAAAAAAAAAAAAAATTAAAAATTTTTTTTTTTTTTTTTAAGATGGGGTTTCACCATGTTGGTCAGGCTGGTCTTGAACTCCTGACCTCAGGTG